CCCACCCACCCACCCACCCAACCAACCAACCAACCACCCATCCATCCATCCATCCATCCATCCATCCATCCATCCATCCATCCATCCATCCATCCTAGATGATAGATGTGCTGTGGTGGCGCAGAGGTGAGAATGCAGCTTTGCAGACTGACTCTGCCCACTGCCAGCAGTTTGATCCTGACCGGCTCAAGGTCGACTCAGCCTTTCACCCTTCCCAGGTGAGTAATATGAGGACCCAGTTTTTGGGGACAACAGGCTGACTCTGTAAACCGCTTAGAGGGAGCTGTAAAGCAGAATTTCCTAGCAGTGATGACAATGAACCAGTGGAACACCTTGCCTCCAGAAGTTGTGGGTGCTTCATCAGTGGAGGATTTTAAGAAGACACTGGACAGCGACCTGTCTGGAGTGGTGTAGGGTCTCCTGTTCAAGCAGGGGGGATGGACTAGACTAGAAGACCTCCAAGGTCCCTCCCAGCTCCATTCTGTTCTAAATCAGCCTGGGCACCTGCATGATAGGTAGATCATAGTTGTATCATATCTGGAGCACAAAACTCTCCCCTAACACAATGGCTGAAAATACAGCTAAGCTGTACAGCGTTGTCATTTGAGGAATTCAGATATACCGTCGTCTGTGGCTATGGGAGAAATCACACGACCGGCTGGAAAAGTCAGAAGCAAACCGATTCCCTTTGGCTCATGTCACATTTCAATATCATCGGGTACATTTCATTTGCGGGATAATTCCGAAGAATAAATTAAACCGGGCGCGATTCAATTATTGGCTCAACTCTCCAGCCTTGTTCCTGCCTGGAGTTTGGACGACAGACCCCCAAATTTCTGGCCAAGCTGGGGGAGCCCCTTGGCCTCTGTGGGCAGGTGGGAATCGGTGCCCCCTCCTCCCCCCCTTGCAGGACAGGTGGGGGCAGCCCCTCCCTTGCCCGCTTCGGGCCTGGCGGGAGCATCCAGCCCCGTGCATTGTTCATCCCAGGAGCGATGCCACGTCAGGGAAGGCACTGAGGTCACGGAGCTGGGAGGGATCCCTGCCTCGTGGCACGCTGGACGTGGGCAGCGTGTCCTCGCTGCCTGGCTGGCTGAGTCCTCGCCTTTCAGAAGGGGCTGTGGGTGTGCAAGTGTGTGACCACCACAGCTGGCCCACAGCTGGGTGGAAAGGCGGCTGGCCTTTCGCCAAAGAAGGGGAAGCAGCACGCAATCCCGGGCAGGTTTGCTCAGGAGAAGCAAATCTGCTTATTTCTTTATGGATTCATTAATCAAATTTATATGGCTGCCCATCTCAGGACTTTTGGGCAATGTGCAACAATCCTGGACTTTGCTGGGCTTCTCTGCTGATAAGTGTCCTTGAAGCCTGAGCCCTTCTCTGCATGCCTCCCAGCAAATTAATTAAATTAAATTAAATTAAATTAAATTAAATTAAATTAAATTAAATTAAATTAAATTAAATTAAATTAAATTAAATTAAATTAAAAGTAAAGTTAAAGTAAAGTAAAGTAAAGTAAATTTAAAGTAAAGTAAAGTAAAGTAAAGTAAAGTAAATTTAAAGTAAAGTAAAGTAAATTTAAAGTAAAGTAAAGTAAAGTAAAGTAAAGTAAAGTAAATTTAAAGTAAAGTAAAGTAAATTTAAAGTAAAGTAAAGTAAAGTAAGGGGGTTGGACTAGAAGACCTCCAAGGTCCCTTCCCACACTATTCTAAATTAAATTCGTGTATTGGTATCCCGCCTTGCTTATTTTTTACAAAGAACTCAAGGTGGCGATCCTACCCCGCACACCTCCCTGGTCCTCTTTCCCCCACAACGACATCCCTGTGAGGTGGGCTCTGGCTGGGAGAGAATGACCGGCCCAAATTCATCCCTGCAGGTTTTTAAGAAGAAGATTGGAATAGAATATCTTTATTGCAGGGGTCTTCCAACTTGGCCCCTTTAAGACTTGTGGACTTCAACTCCCAGAATTCCTCAGCCAGCCCTCAGGGCTGGCTGAGGAATTCTGGGAGTTGAAGTCCACAAGTCTTAAAGCGGCCAAGTTGGAAGACCCCTGCTTTATTGTCATTGCGTATCTCCCAACAAAATGGTACCGGGTCTCCTGCTTAAGCAGGGGGTTGGACTAGAGGACCTCCAAGGCCCCTTCCAACTCTATCATTCTGGGCTTCTCAGGGCTGGATTGCGCCCCTGGCTGGCCCGTGATCCCACCACCCCTGTCGTTTGTGCCAGGCGGCGGCCGGCTCACGTGTCCCAATCCCCCACCGCGGTTCACTCACGGTTCATGGAATCCGGCGAGGCTGAGCCGAAGCGACAGAGAAACCTTTAGCGGAACAAGCGGGAATATAGTATCAGGCAAGGCTGACCGAGCCACGAACCGTGGCACGAACCACCGAGCAAATTAGCATCGACGAAAATAGCAGGCCGTTCAGATCGCTCGTGCGCCGGGCAGCAAATGCAGCTCCCGTGTCAGCCGGCATCAGGGCAGGGAGGCATAAAGGACGGCTGCCCGGTGCTCCCCCCCCACCCCAACTCGGCCCGTTGGCCAGGAGTGAGCACACCCAGGTCCAGGGTCTCCTACTGGAATGGGAGAGGGGGGTGGGTTGTCAGAAAAGCCAAAGGTTCACATGTGAAAAAATGGTGGGGATTTGATTGCCCGAGTTGGCCACTTCTTGACCTTAAGGGGGTCAAGCTATTCTGGAGGCCGGACAAGAAGCAACGTTCCAACGCTGCTAACATCGGATGTTTTTCCTTTGACAACAGATGCAACCATTTTCTTCTTATGTTTTACTCTTAGAGTTAGAGTTAGATGATGCTGGGGGGAAGGAATGTGCCTGAGAGTTCAGCCAGACATAACAATACTGGACCTAGTGCGAGAACCAAGGTTATTGAAACAAGAGATGATAAGAATTGGCGGGCTGGAGAACTGGAGGGAAAGCCTGCATTTCAAACTAGTTGGAGAATGCGATTTATGACTGTTAATTAGAGGAGGG